CCACCCGCTCCCTCCCAACGGAGTTCTCCCCAAGCTATTTCCCACGGTTTCCCTTCCGCGCACCCTGTCTATATCGCTCCTTCCCACCGGAGCTCTCCCCAAGCTATTTCCCACGGTTTCCCTTCCGTCCACCCTGTCGTCACATCCGTATCGCTCCTTCCCACCGGAGCTCGCCCCAAGCTATTTCCCACGGCTTCCCTTCCGTCCACCCTGTCATCACTCCCGTATCGCTCCTTCCCACCGGAGCTCTCCCCCAGCTATTTCACACGGTTTCCCTTCCGCTTCCCAAGCTATTTCCCACGGTTTCCCTTCCGTCCACCCTGTCTTCCCGTATCGCTCCTTCCCACCGGAGCTCTCCCCAAGCTATTTCCCACGGTTTCCCTTCCGTCCACCCTGTCGTCACTCCTCCCTTCCGTCCACCCAATCGTCGCTTCCATCCGTTCCCCCCCAACGGAGCTCTCCCCAAGCTATTTCCCATGGTTTCCCCTCCGTCCACCCTCTCGTCAAATCCGTATCGCTCCCTCGCGGCAAGTGCAACTAAACGAGAACCCAAGCATCGGAGATGCTTTTGGGAAAAAATGTGTGCTAATCGTAGCGTTTGCAAAACGTTTTTACAAATAACATGTGTGAAACTTCATTGGATTGCTTCCTGAGATTTTCTCTTGAACTTTCACTTATGAATGTTGGCGCGCAACAGTTCCCAAATTTCACTTGACCACACACAACTTCGGTTCTGTTGCTCAACTTTACTTTTTTCAGGCGTTTGATGGATCATGAAAACCGAACTTACCACACCACCTTGGAACCTTCATTTGAACTGGTGCCCTGAAATATTTTTCAACTTGAATTTGAATTCCCACTTGAAAACTTCACCTGATCTCTACGTGTCATGATTTGATTGGAGTTTTCACTTGGGTATTCGCTTGACATTTCCAGCTTAATCCCAATGGACATGCAATTGATTGAGCCTTTCAGATCATTTCTTAAATAAGCTAAATGATAGTTTGACGGTTTGAACTGAACACTTCTTTGGTATCTTGATTCATCTGCAGCATCAATGGGTCAAGAGACCCAGCTAGGCTTTTTACACCATTGAAAACAGCCAGAAGGTATTTGCCGGCCTCACCTGTTTGGAAAATGCCACCTCTCTTTAGTATTCATTGTGGTTTCTTGGTTTGCATACAGCCACCTCTTGCCTTTCACTGGGTTTCGTGTCGCTTGTGCTCCTTCTTTCCTCATTTGTTTCCTCCTGACTCCACTTGTTTCTCATCAGGTCAAGACATGTTTCTTTGCTTCGCATATTATGTAAACCTTGGCATTATTCAACATATTGAGACTAAACACTTGCACGTGCTATGTTATTTCTACTAATAAGGTTTCTTTTAATAATAATAGACTAAAGAAGTTTCAGGTTGTTTGAGGTTTTTCTCTGTGACCCCGCATGTCTTTCAGTAAATGAATCAAAGTGAGGAGTGTCAAGGAAAGGTTTGCAGGTGTACATCCTCCATGTGTGGTTGCCAGGGAGAGTAAGCTGCTGGATGCCGCATTCCAAAAATGTGGGTTTTCTGACAGGGCGAAAATTGTCAAGTGAATCTTGTCAAGTGAAGGTTTTCAGCTCCAGGTTTCCCATTGGAGGTATCCTTGTATTTGTTGGCAAGTGAAGCTGCGCAAGTGCATGTGATCAAGTGGTTGTGTGCAATTCAAGGTTGGCACTGGAGCTATGCACGCGTTGTTTCGCAAGTGAAGTTGTACAAGTGAAGGTTGCCAAGCGAATGTCTTCAGTTCAAGGTTTCATATTTGAGGAGTAAAAGTTATCAAGTGAATATCTTCTGTTCCGGTCTTGGCAGTGGAGGTGTGCAAGTACTTGCTGGCAAGTAGATGTTCAAGTGAATCTACTCAGCTCAATGTTTGGCAGTGGAGGCGTGGAAGTATAGATTGGCAAGCGAAGTTGTGTAAGTGAAGGTGGTCAATAGCTGTGCTGAGGCGCTGCGCCAAAAATGTGCAACCCGACAGCGGCATGAACGACATGTAAAGAAAACACATGCAAATATTGAATTCAAATGCTACTTAGTACCAGTGTGTGTGAGACTGGAAGTTACAACATTATTTATTGGGCAAAAGAAGTCTGTAATCAACAGACTAAATTCTGTGAACATTGCAGCGTTGCTTTGTCCTGTAACATACAGGTATGCGGTTTTTTGGGTCGTGAACCTTTCTGTTTGTTACATTTTGGCCGCGGAACCAACGTGGATTGCACGAAATTACATTTTTCTTTCCAGAACTACCTGAGACAATTATTAAAACCTCACAGGTGGAAATGCGATTCTTTGGAAGCAAACAAAGAAACACAACAGGGAATAATAACATGTGTGAGATTTCTTACAAATTAGTTAACTTCTGGGAGAAAGTTTCAGCAAAAAAGAAAACATCGTTTGGACAAATAAAGGAAAAAGTCATTTTTTGAAGAAAATTCAAGGGAAAACTCATTTTTTTGATAAAATCCAAGGTGAAATGTCTCAGTTGTTTGAGAAAAACAGCTGAAAAACATGTTTTTTTTGCCTAAAACATGCATCGACAAAAGATGCATCGACAAAAGAGTCATGCGAAAGTTTGACGAAAGTTTGGCGAAAGTTTCACTGAAGCTCTCCCGCGGTGCCCTCCCAAAGCTATTTCCCACGGTTTCCCCGCCGTCCACCCTGTCGTCGCTTCCGTCTCGCTCCCTCCAAACGCAGCTCTCCCCATGCAAGCTATTTCCCACGGTTTCTCCTCCGTCCACCATGCATGTCCCCTGGTTTGGAAACTTTGACAAGTCTTGGGCGCACAGTTTTTCGGCACAATCGGATGGATGACATTTGTCCTGAAAAACTCGTGCCAACAGCTGCGCATTTTTTGTGCCGCTCCCTGCCAACGAGGCTACGCATGTCCTATCGCCCAATCTTTGCACACGGCTTGACAAGTCTTGGGCGCAGAGTTTTTCGGCACAATCGCATTGATGCAATTTGTCTTGAAAAACCTGTGCCAACAGCTATACATTCCCACTATATAGCTTCCTCCCAACGGAGCTCTCCCCAAGCTATTTCCCACGGTTTCCCTTCCGTCCACCCTGTCGTCACTTCCACATCGCTCCTTCCCAACGGGGCTCTCCCCATGCTATATTTCCCACGCTTCCCCCTCCGTCCACCTTGTCCTCGCTTCCGTATCGCTCCTTCCCCCCGGAGCTCTCCCCAACCTATTTCCTTTCCGTCCACCCTCTCGTCGCTTCCGTATGCTATTTACCACGGTTTCCCGTCCGTCCACCTTCTCGTCGCTTCCGTATCGCTCCTTTCCAACGGACCTCTCCCCAAGCTATTTCCCACGGTTTTCCTTCCGTCCACCTTGTCGTCGCTTCTGTCTCGCTCCTTCGGCACGGAGCTCTCCCCATGCTATTTCCCACGGTTTCCCCCGTCCACCCTCTCGTCGCTTCCATCTCGCTCCTTCCCAACGAGGCTCTCCCCAAGCTATTTCACACGACGGTTTCCCCTCCGTCCACCTTGTCGTCGCTTCCGTCTCGCTCCTTCCCCACGGAGCTCTCCAAGCTATATTTCCCACGGTTTCCGTTCCGTCCATTTTGTCGTCGCTTCCGTATCGCTCCTTCCCAACGGAGCTCTCCCCATGCTATTTCCCATGGTTTCCCATCTGTCCTCCCATCCGTCCACCTTGTGTTGCTTCCGTATCGTTTCTTCTCAATGGAGCTCTCCACAAGCTATTTCCCACGATTCCCGTCCGTCCACCCTGTCGTCGCTTCCGCATCACTCCTTCACCACGGAGCTCTCCCAAAGCTATTTCCCACGCATCCCCTCCGTCCACCCTGTTGTCGCTTCCGTATCGCTCCTTCCCAACGGAGCTCTCCCCACCCTGTCGTCGCTTCCGTATCGCTCCTTTCCAACGGAGCTCTCCCCATGCTATTTCCCACGGTTTCCCGTCGTCCACCCTCTCGTCGCTTCCGTCTCGCTCCTTCCCCACGGAGCTCTCCCCAAGCTATTTCCCACGGTTTCCTCCGCCCATTCTATCGTCGCTTCCGTCTCGCTCCTTCCCAACGGAGCTCTCCCTATGCTATTTCCTACGGTTTCATCCCGTCCGTCCACCTTCTCGTCGCTTCCGTATCGCTCCTTCCCAACGGGGCTCTTCGCAAGCTATTTCCCACGGTTTCCCTTCTGTCCACCCTCTCGTCGCTTCCGTATCGCTCCTTCCGCACGGAGCTCTCCCCAAGCTATTTCCCACGGTTTCCTCTCCGTCCACCTTGTCGTTGCTTCCATCCGTTCCCTCCCAACGGAGCTCTCCCCAAGCTATTTCCTACGGTTTCCCGTCCGTCCACCCTCTCGTCACTTCCGTATCGCTCCCTCGCGGCAAGTGTGACTAAACGAGAACCCAAGCATCGGAGATGCTTTGGGGAAAAAACATGTACAGAGCGACCATGATCATTTTCTTGGTCCAACACCTGAAAAACAATAAACAGGATAACATAGAGGTATTCCAAGACAGCGCGTTACCTGGCATTGTGTTTGTTTCCTGGTGTGTTGGGAGTGTTGACTCTCGCCTGCAGCGTAACCAACCACAGTAATCCAGTGGGCAAGCTGTCTCGTGTTTGCCAGAGAATACTGTACACTGATGGACATGTAGTGGACATGTAAAGTGGGTGGCCCATCACATTGACATACTTTCGCACACTTGATTCTCGCGTTGTTCTTGTTCTGATATCATTCAACCACTCTGCATCATGGCATCACCCTGGCAAAAGATACATAACTCACGTTACGTATCGTTTTTTAATTGTTTTCTCGGGTCGTAGCGAAGAGCCTAGCTCCCACTACCAGCATACAGTATAAGGAATTCAACGGGGTTACTTTTCCGTGTGAATGTGCATACAACATCATACAGCGTTCTACAATGTTCTTCAGCTGTACTCCGATAGCAACTTGATTTTCAACACAATTACTCGGTAATTATGCGGTATGACCAGCCTTCATCACATCCAGATCGGCATGGAGCTGTAAGGTGAATTGCACCCTTTCCGGTAGCATCTCCTTCGAAGCTGAGCTGCTGGCAGCTGTCTCTGCAGCTGGTTTTGAAGAGAGATATTGGACACACAAACCATGCTACTGAAATATATTTAACCTAATATTTTAAACTAGTTTATCTCATAGTTTATCTACTCCAGTTGTTTACACAGTACGCAGTACATCTTAAAATATTTCCATGACTTTCAAGAGCTCTTCCCTCACGCCAATGGTGACCAAATTCACTCCTCGTCTCTGGGCTGCGCATAAAGCCACTTTTCCCTCAAAGGCCCACCCAGTGCTACCAGCATACCTGGAAAGGGATGGTCGTGCCACAAATTCATGCACCCGCGGCTGTGGCAGAAGCGATATCAATATTGGAAATATAATGGAATTATACTTAAAATACTTGGATATAAATTATGAATTTAAATTATAATTGACTTCATACTTTCTGATAATATTTGATTAGGAGAAGTGCATGTGCTCACAACAAACACCCTGAGGCAACAGTAGATAAGATATTGTAAAATCATCTTGGCTCGCTAAATTGCAGTTCATACCTCCTGTACACCGGACCAATTCAACCACCATCCCACCTTCTTCCAGTGGAATAATCACCGTGACAACTTCGCGGCGGCCGCGGCCATAGTACCAAGGAATGCCATGGATATGATACCTGTAGCTGAAACGGCTGAAACATGCTGAAACATGACTTTGCTGTCTTTCTGCAAGTGCAAGCCGTCTGCAAGTTTCGGTAAAACACATGATCAACTTTGGCGGCTGTTCCAACAGAGACTCTGCCCTGTCCAAGCGGCACGCGGGTAGCTCCAAGCGCCATCAATCCAATGACAGTTGATTGGTGCCATCCGCAATGAGTTGCGTAAGTGTGCGGACCATCTTTTAAATGAACACCTGCAACAGCCAAATCAGCCAGGAAGAGACACACACACACAACGCCACTGGAATCCCTGCAAGAGAATGGTAAAGCTTCTCGGGCCCACTGGCTGGTGCGATGGGGACTGCCTATGCACATCGACTCATTGATGTGACGCTGAAAAAAACATTTTTTTCGGTGAGAGTGGTTGTGCCTGCCACCAATGCCCGTGTCTGCACAAATCTCTTGACTCTACACATTGTGGCATTGGATGGCCGAGAATAGGCCGAAATCAAGCTGTACAACATGTGACATTGAAAAACTGGGCTCATCTCCAAACACGCATCGTCAGAGCGATGGTTCAGAGCTGGAGCTTCCACCATCGCCCAGGGTGACTCTTGGCTAACGAATGGGCCGACATCTGCGAATACTTGCTTGGCACCTGCCAGTGCAGCACTGTGCAGGCCTCCAGCAGGACTGATCCAGCTCAAGGCAAGGAAGACCACGGGTCAACTCCAGGTGTGTCTGGTTCTCCATGGTTTCGTTACGTGGCATATGTGGCATCGCACCACGCAAAGCGGGAGATTCAGCGAATCCAGCATTCATCTCCGCAGCAATGACCACGGCGCACAGGAATCCAAGTAACTTCAGCATGGACGTCGAAGGACAAATTGAATCAAAGGGCCGGAGTCACTTGAGACAAAATTTCCAGGGATGAAGCTGGAAATTAAATGAAATTATGACATACTTTTGGCATGTGCCATGTTGGTAGCAGGACTGGTTCGATATGGTGGGATTATGACATGATTATGATGGATTATGGCCCCATTTCTGTCTCTGAGGGTTTTTCACGACATTTCACAAGCGTGCTTGTGTCGCCTCGAGGCTCCCAACGACACATGATGCCATTGAAAGGTGCAAGGACTGCAGCAGAAGCGTCCCCGAGTAGCTCCTGCGGTGTGGCTCCACGATTCTCCACGTGGCTCAGTGTGATGGATTCTGTCACATATTGTGTAAACATATTCGTAAATCTTCGTTGACATGTTCAAACATCAATGAGCTCTAAATAAACTCTTGACTTTAGTTGGCGCCTGCTAATGAAACCATCTGAAAACAGTCAAAAACCATCAAGCACCATTAAAAACAACTTTGGGGGCGATCAGGTGGTCTTGTCCCTCCAGCCGTCACCCTGCCTTGTGGCTAAATACCCTATGATTTTTAGCCTGAACTGTGCATGTCCGTTCGTGCCAATGAAAAGGTGTGAGTGTGAGATCATTACATGACCCGTACAGCGCGCATGCTTGCCATATTCGCCATGTTTGCCATCCTTGCCCACGTAACACCCTTTCCCTACTTTTCTGAAGGGGCTTCCGCAGCAACGTAGCGTGATTATTCGTGACCTAGGATCTATCTAGTCGAGAACTGCAGGAAGGTCATGATTGAAGGAAGGGTCAGTGTCATGTAATATACATTGGAAATGACTACTATGCAAGGCACAATCTCTTCAACTAGTGACACTGTCATTTTGCAACCTGCAACATAATGGTGTCTCTTAAATTCTACCAGTAGCACCGCACAAGGCGGTGGCGGAAGTTTCAAAAATAGGAAACCTATAGGAGAGGTTGGTTGTTGTGAATCACGGATAGCAGAGCGAAGCCACTGATGGACCGAAAGGTGGTTGAGGTCTCTTCTCTTTCTCTCTTTTTCTGTCTCTTTCTCAGGCTACCTACCTACCTACCAACCTATTTATCTATGTTTTCATCTATCTCTCTCTCTCTCTCTCTCTCTCTCTGTCTGTCTGTCTATCTATCTATCTATCTCTCTCTCTCTCTCTGTCTGCCTATCTGTCTGTCTGTCTGTCTATCTATCTGTCTATCTGTCTATCTGTCTATCTGTCTATCTGCCTATCTATCTATCTATCTACCTACCTACCTACCTACCTACCTACCCTATCTACCTATCTATCTATCGATCGATCGATCGATCTACCGATCTATCGATCTATCGATCTATCGATCTATCGATCGATCGATCTATCTATGTATCCAATCTCTCTCTCTCTCTCTGTCGCTGTCTGTTCTATCCATCTATCCATCTATCCATCTATCCATCTATCCATCTATCCATCTATCCATCTATCGATCTATCGATCTATCGATCTATCGATCTATCGATCTATCGATCTATCGATCTATCTATCTAATCTATCTAATCTATCTAATCTATCTAATCTATCTAATCTATCTAATCTATCTAATCTATCTAATCTATCTAATCTATCTAATCTATCTAATCTATCTAATCTATCTAATCTATCTAATCTATCTAATCTATCTAATCTACTATCTATCTAATATATCATATCTATCTATCTATCTACCTATCTATCTATCTGTCTATCTATCTATCTATCTATCTGTCTATCTATCTATCTATCCAGCTATCTATCTATCTATCTATCTGTCTATCTGTCAGTCCAGTCTCACCTAATAACCCAAGTATGAACCAACATATCATGTAAGAAAGAATTTGAGCATCTTCAGGAACATAAACACAATTTAAGGAGGGCCCCACAATATCGAAAAACATCTTCTACACGGTAAACATCTCATCCCAAGCAGATCATCCCATTATTTTCCTTAATGCTTTCCCAACATCAAACATTCAAAGCCCGCATCTGATACCTGTCAGAAGGAAAAGCTGCTTGGCTGAGCCCACCTGGAGGCTAAACTGCTTAAAATGAACCCGTCAGAAAAGACGCAGTCGGCTGCTTTGAAGCTGCTGGAAAATGAAGCGGTCAGAAAAGGCACAGTCGGCTGCTTTCACCTGTGATCCGGATGATCACGCCCGCGTGCCACGTCGCCACGGAAATCTTGGAGGTGCTTGCGTCTGGCGGGAAAAACTTTAGGCGGTCAACCACCTGGAGGCTAAGCTGCTGGAAACTGAACCGATCTGAAAAGACACAGTCTGCTGCTTTTAAACTGCTGGAAAATGAACCGGTCAGACAAGACACAGTCGGCTGCTTTCACCTGGCCCGGCTGATCCAACCCGTGTGCCGCGTCGCCACGGAAATCTTGGAAGTGCTTGCGTCTGGCGGCAAAAACTTCTGGCGGTCACGACAAAACCACCTGGAGGCTAAGCTGCTGATCTCTGGTGTAGTGTAATTAGCGTAGTGTTATGTAGCATAGTATATTTCTATTTCTACTTGTAGCAGTTTGGTAGTGTAGTGTAATCGTAATTGTAGTTGTAGTTGCAAATCTGTCTATCTATCTATCTATCTAATCCAATCTAACCTAATCTAATCTAATCTAATGTGTGCCTCTGATTAGTGTGGCCGGCCCCCCCCCACAAACAATTTGAATATACTCTATAACTCGCACTTTTTTGCCACCCCTCAACAATTTTCTGGTTAATCAACTTACGTAAGGATTTCAATTTACTTTCAATTTAGTTTCATTTTATTTCAATTTATTTTCATTTTGCTTTCAATTGATTTCAATTTACTTTCAATTGATTTCAATTTACTTTCGATTGATTTCAATTTACTTTCAATTGATTTCATTTTCCTTTCAATTTATTTTCAACTTACTTTCAATTGATTTCATTTTCCTTTCAATTTATTTTCAATTTACTTTCAATTGACTTCAATTTACTTTCAATTGATTTCAATTTACTTTCAATTTTTGGATAATAAGGGTTTAAAACGGGTTTAATAAGGGTTTAATAAGGCATCTAATTATTTGGAAAACCTTGCATTTTAAAGCTTTAACACAAATATTGTTTTCTAAAGTAAAGGGAACAGCTTTACCCAAAGAAAGGTGGAGAAAGGATTTTGTTTTTTTTTGCCTCCCAAAAGTTGGTGCTCACAATAGAGTGCCATGCAGACAATTATATTATTCAGTATCTGGGCCACTCATGAGGTACCCCCTTGAAAAATTGTCTGGGTGCTGTTTTTTAAGAAGAGTTTAATAAGGCATCTAATTATTTGGAAAACCTTGCATTTTAAAGCTTTAACACAAATATTATTTTCTAAAGTAAAGGGAACAGCTTTACCCAAAGAAAGGTGCAGAAAGGGTTTTGTTTTTGTTCACTCCCAAAAGTTGGTGCTCACAATAGAGTACCATCCACGCAATTATATTATTGAGTAACTGAGCCACTCATGAGGTACCCCCTTGAAAAATTGTCTGGGTGCTGTTTTTAAAAAAGGGTTTAATAAGGCATCTAATTATTTAGAAAACCATGCGTTTTAAAGCTTTAACACAAATATGGCTTTCTGAAGTAAAGGGACCAGCTTTACCCAAAGAAAGGTGGAGAAAGGGTTTTGTTTTTTTTCACTCCCAAAAGTGGGTGCTCACAATAGAATACCATCCACACAATTGTATTATTGAGTAACTGAGCCACTCATGAGGTACCCCCTTGAAAAATTGTCTGGGTGCTGTTTTTTTAATAAGAGTTTAATAAGGCATCTAATTATTTGGAAAACCTTGCGTTTCAAAGCTTTAACACAAATATGGCTTTCTAAAGTAAAGGGAACCGCTTTACCCAAAGAAAGGTGCAGAAAAGGTTTTGTTTTTGTTCACTCCCAAAAGTTGGTGCTCACAAAAGAGTACCATCCAGACAATTATATTATTGACTAACTGAGCCACTCATAGGGTAATTAATGAAAAAGGAAGCAATTAAAAGGAAATGTAAAGAAGGAAGCAATGAAAAAATGAAACAATAGGATAAAAAATAGAAAAAATAAAACACAAATAAGAAAAAATAAAAAAATAAAAATAGATAAAATAGAAATAAAAAATAAAATGAGCAATAAAGCATTTGGAAAAATGAAAAAAGCTGGAAAAACTCACAATAGAGGCTCCCCCCCACAAACAGCATGATACTGAATTAGGAGCAAGAAATTTCTTTCAATAGGGTAACATCCTACTAATCAGAGGCAAACATTAATCTAATCTAATCTAATCTAATCTAATCTATCTATCTATCTAATCCAATCTAATCTAACCTAATCTAGTCTAATGTAATGTGTGCCTCTGAGTAGTGTGGCCGGCCCCCCCCACAAACAATTTGAATATACTCTATAACTCGCACTTTTTTGCCACCCCTCAACAATTTTTTGGTTAATCAACTTACGTAAGGATTTCAATTTACTTTCAATTTACTTTCATTTTATTTCAATTTATTTTTAATTTGCTTTCAATTGATTTCAATTTACTTTCAATTGATTTCAATTTACTTTCGATTGATTTCAATTTACTTTCAATTTAATTTCAATTGATTTCAATTTACTTTCAATTGATTTCAATTTACTTTCAATTGACTTCAATTTACTTTCAATTGATTTCAATTTACTTTCAATTGATTTCAATTTACTTTCAATTTTTGGATAATAAGGGTTTAAAACGGGTTTAATAAGGGTTTAATAAGGCATCCAATTATTTGGAAAACCTTGCATTTTAAATGCTTTAACACAAATATGGCTTCCTAAAGTAAAGGGACCAGCTTTACCCAAAGAAAGGTGGAGAAAGGATTTTGCTTTTATTTTTTGCCTCCCAAAAGTTGGTGCTCACAATAGAGTGCCATCCAGACAATTATATTATTCAGTATCTGGGCCACTCATGAGGTACCCCCTTGAAAAATTGTCCGGGTGCTGTTTTTTAATAAGAGTTTAATAAGGCATCTAATTATTTGGAAAACCTTGCATTTTAAAGCTTTAACACAAATATTGTTTTCTAAAGAAAAGGGGGCAGCTTTACCCAAAGAAAGGTGCAGAAAGGGTTTTGTTTTTGTTCACTCCCAAAAGTTGGTGCTCACAATAGAGTACCATCCACGCAATTATATTATTGAGTAACTGAGCCACTCATGAGGTACCCCCTTGAAAAATTGTCTGGGTGCTGTTTTTTAAAAGGGTTTAATAAGGCATCTAATTTGGAAAACCTTGCATTTTAAATG